CGTTTTTTGTGCTTTCAATATTACCGGAGATATAAAGAGTTTGGTTCAGATTTCAATTTTGTTAAATAAAAGCAAAATTGTCGAAATCTGAACGAAATTCTTCATATCTCGGGCAATATTGAAAGCACAAAAAAAGGCAGACCACATTTTGGAAATGGAAGGACTAGGGGAATTTTGTGATTATTATCTCTAGAAATTTACTTCTAAGATTAGCTGTTGACAAATAAACGCAGCAAATTATATCAAAAATCAAGACGACATTCAAGTCGTCCTGCATACTGTCATGTTTCTTGGGACACCCTGAATCAATCAAAATCCATAAAATTATAGGCATTTCTTTCTTAGAACGGGCTGGTAATGTTGATCCGCTTTACCGCCCATCCGTGCCATCCCCCCTGAACCATGGTGAAATCTATTGATTTCAGGGGGTTTTCAGGCCCCAACGGGTGCTGAGCTCCCGCCCCCCTGGAAAGAAAAAAATTTAAGCCCCCCCTGGACAAATTCCTAAATATGCCCCTGCTATTGCCCAGCCGCTATAATTATACTACACATCCGACCTACGACAGAGCTGTTTATTTTTTTTATTATTTGAGGGTTAGATAAGGTTATGACAATTTCTGGGCTATGCGGCTGATGGGCTAGGGGGCCGAGCGCCGTAGCTAGGAAAGGAGCTAGGGGCCCGGGCGGGCCACAATTCCATAAAGCAGCTGTAAAAGTAAAACCACGTGCTAGTAGGTCGGATGATATAGCGGATTTGCGTAGGTCGAAAGTTACAGCACTCATATGAGAAAGTTTAAACACTTCGCGGCATTTGTTTTCGGAAATTTTTGATTAATAAACACACGAGCTTTGTCTTTTTTGTTACATTGTATTTACTGTAAATACAGTCAGTCTTTTTAATCCCAAAATAATAGGTAATTTCCTAGTAAACGTTTTTTGGACCCCCCCTGACCCCCCCTCCTATCATTTTGGTACATGACTATTTTTATTTTTACTTTTGAGCAATGCAAATTCAGGATTATTGGTCTTATGGCCGCAGCGCTCGGCTTAGACATAATTGATAGGAGGGGGGGGG